TTAGCATGGGAAAACAATATGCCTTTCTTTACATGTTATTAGTGTACAAACCAACTAACGCACTGTGAGCTGTTTTAGATGATTTTTTTAGGGAAAAAATGGTCTGAAACAGAGTGAAAATTTCATTCATTTCATTCTGAACAGCTCAAGGTGGCAAATGTAAAAAAGGTGCTACTGTAAGCAGGGTCAGGGCCTGTAATTACCAGTGCTTTGCTTTTGCAAGTCACTGTGGGTCTTTTAAATGTACCAGTAAGAGTGGGAGGATAATGCTCTTGAATTTTATATTTCCTTCTGAAAAGCTGTAAACATCTCCACTTACATCTCTTGTCTTTCTCGTGATGTTGCATAGTCATTTCAGGAAGACTTATCCGCTGCTGACATTCATCTGTGTCCATGGCAGGGTTTTCTGCTGTAAGGTCTCAAAAATAGGTCAGAAGCTCAGAGCAGCCAGTGAGGAACCTATTATGGCACAGAAGTGGAGGGAGCGCCTATGTAAGAGCACTGTGAATAGACTGGGACATAGGTAATCCTATGGAATGGGTCAAGGTAATGGAATAACTTTGACTTTTAAGGACTTAATGAATCCAAAGGGTAGTCTGGGGAGCAATGTCCCATCTTACCCTGGGCCGGGAGCTCTGAAATTACAGGGAGCACTGATGGTCTCTCTCATCTCTAGATATCTTGACTCATGTTTTTATGTTTCTATGAAACTATTTATTAGCAGGGAAAAAGAATCTGCACAGCTTTTAGTGAGTGTTGCGAACCAAATCCATGGGCTCTGTAAATCCAAGACCCTCTTTAGACTGGGGTTTAGGAGATGCTTACACATATATCAACTGTGTCTGCACAGGGATGAATTCCCTCATCTGGGCTTTCATTTTCTGTATCTTTACTACTTGTCCTGGGCCCTTAACTCCATTAAGGGTAGATGCACAACTGTTTATTTAGGCCTTTTTAATCTGACAGTTCCAATCAAGCTAATTCATCCGAGAGAGACCAACCATCCTTTTATTTATTTTAAGCTATTTTACCAAGGTAACCCAATCCAGGCCATCTCCGTATCTTGTTTACAAGAGCAGCCCCGGTGACAACATCTGTCCTGTGTAAAATGTCAAAAAAGAGAGAAAGAAAAAGGCAAACCTTGGGAAAATCATAGAGGTACCAGAATTATTCTTCAGACTCACATGAGCCTCCAACATCACTGTCCCTGCTATTCTGAGAAGAAAAAAGGTCAGAAGGAGGTACCAGAGCTGTGGTGTCAGAGCCCACTCTGGCTGGGAGCCAGGCCCTGGTATGTCCAGTGGAATGCAAGTCCTGTGAATAGTGGTTGCTCCTACCTGTAATCTGTGGGAGGAAGTGGCAGCCTGTCAGTGAGATGGAAGCTGCTGAGCATACGGCAGCGTCTGCGTCTTTTGTCTTTCTCTGTTTCTTCGTAGGGTTTTTTTTTCATAGTAAGCTACTGAGTTTCTGGGCTGCACTAAGGGGATTTTGCACCTTCCTAGTGAAAACTGCTTGTTTTAAATGATGATAAGAAACAGCTTTTGCCATCCAGTAAATGAGGGAAAGTCTGATACAGCTGCACTGTAAGAGGTTAATTTACACTAAAGTGACAATGTTTAAAGTTATGGCAGCAGTTTAAAGGGCAGAACTGGCTGTAGGGGTGACAGTACTTTGTGGTCCACAGAAGTGGAGGAAAGCTGAGCAGCTCCCATTGCTGAGATGCCTTGGCAGTGCTTGATGGCTTGTCTTGATCCTTGCTGATCCCTGCAAGCTCTTGTATTTCAGGAAGAAGTGGAAGCCTGAGGAATTTATTTGTCACTTGAGCCTAGTGGTGACCATCAGGAATGAAACCTGCGTAGTCCATTACTAGTTGCCATTGTTTTGTGAGCTCTTGTCTGAATTCGCTGCTGCATGATGTGTGGTGTGAAGTGAAGTTCCTGCTGGTGGAAGGCTCTTTATGGACAGGGTGCAGAATAACATTTCAAAATAAAAAGACCTGTTTGGATCAAAAAGCCATTTCTTACAGGAAAAAATACATTTTCACGTGAATGTTGAGTATGTGACAAATAGCCCTTTGCTACTAAACCTGAGAAAAAATGTTCAATTGGAGAGAGGAAATTTGATCCTTCAAATTTCAACCAAACCTGCCAGAAATAAATGTAATGAAAACCACTGTGTACATGTTAGAAAAGCCAAACAAACATACCTGAGGAAGGTCTTTAAATGTATCACAACTGAGACTTGCTATACACATAAATGAGGCGCACATCTGCTCTTGGTATTGCACTTGCATCCATGGGAAAGAAAAGATTACAACAAGATACCAACATTAAAGTAGATCGATACAGAAGTGAGTGGGAACTCCTGGAAGGAGATTGTTAGATAGTGACTGCTTGGAATAAGTCCAAACCGAACTGCAACACAGAGAAATTGGCTTTGTGTTGTACCATGTTTTCTGTAATGCAAACCAGTGTATGTGAGTGTGGGTGGTGGTATGTGATTGTCATTATGAAAAGCTTTTGCCAGCACAGTAGCTCAGACACCAGGGGATAACACATTACACACTGATGCTTTCCAGGACATTAATTCTGAAGCAGTTGTGGTGGGTTGTTTCTATCAGAGGATATGAGCTTCTGAACCAGTTTCCCACAGGGTGTTATCTTAGCAGGACAAGGGTAAGATCCAGTCGTACTTCAGAGAAATGGTTCCACCTCTCTGCAGTGTTCAGGTTTCACCTAACACGGCTGTGCTTTGAGGTTAGAGACAGGGATTCATGTTTCAGACAATGGACAGAACAATGGGGGAAGTGAGCCCCTGTTTCTGTTACAGCGTAATCCCACCTGGGAGAGAGGCTCACTTGTTACTTCAAAGCCTTTGTGTGTTAGAACACCCCACTGGGATTTGTGTTAGAACACCTCACAGAGGAGATGTGCCAGGTTGATGATCCTGTGATGAGAGAGCATGGCCAGAGCTGCATTAAAGCTGTGTCATGTTTGGGATCCAGTGTAAATACAGGCACCCTGATTGCTTGTGGACGTTAAGGAAGTCCTGAGCAGTGCTGAGACCCAACAGTTGAGCTGCAAACACGTCATACGCGTTGCTAAAACGTTCACCTCCTGGAGTTTCAAACTAATGCAATAAATTGTGCTTCCTGTCCTCAGCGCAGCGTTTGCTGCCGGAGCTGCCACGTTCCAGCTCTGAGCCAGCAGGTGCTGGTTGTTGGGAAACGTGATCCCTGGATCGCTTGGATGCATCTTGGAGAATGTAACTTACAGACATGTAAGAGGGAGGCTGCATGAAGAGGCTTCCTTCCCTCAGCCTGGGAAGCCTGGTGGTGTCTGTGGTTTTGTAAGACCTCTTGTGCTGTATTTGTTTTTATTCCTCTGCTAGCCCTCAGGTCCAGATTACTTTCAGACAAGCTGGTTTACTGTTTGAATAACACAGGCTTAAAGTCTGTTAGAAATGGGTCATTTCTCAAGTAAAATTCCCCAGAAAATCGTGACAAGTATTTGTGGTGCTGGGTCTGGTGGCACCTGGCAATTACAAATAAAAATCCATTTCTTGATCCAGACTTTCCTCCTTCTCCTTGGGGACAAATTAAACTGAACTGCAGAAGTTTTGAATATGCTTCTAAATCCAGCTTGTGGGGTGATTCTACATGTTATTTCTTCCTGGGAAAGTGTCTCAGATTCATATTAATGAGGATTCCATGTTTGTGGTTAGGGGAAATTTAGTCCTGTGGCTTAAGCAGCCTCAGGACTCTCATTAAGTGCAAGAGGTTAATAATCTAAACTAGCAGCTAAGTAGCTATGGTCAGCAGAGCCTGGTTGCTTTTTGGCTCACACAGGCTAAACTGGTCCCTTGTCCTGTGCAGGGCTAGAAATGCAGGCGGAAACAGGGAGCATGAGTGGGAAAAACTAGTCTGCATGTGAGTGATTGTAAGGACAGAGAGGGATTCCCTAGAAGTAGATGAGCTCTTCATTCAGGTGTAATTTGTGCTCTGGCAGTTTGGGATCCTTGTCTAGCCCTGTACTTTGCACACACAGCTCAGGGAAAGCCCTCTCTTTGTTGGAATAAATGGTTGCATGGAGCATCCATGGCTTCATCTTCTGGCAGGTTGGACTAGAGATTGCAAAATAACCAGAAAAATTAATATAGTTTCACTCAACTTTGGTCTGAAAACAGGTATCCAAGATGCGGTCTAGAAATCCAAAACACTATTCCAAGGAATCAAACAGAAGCATGATCTGTCTGAATAGCCAGATCTGGAAGGACACATCTCTTTCATTGAGACAGCATCATGTGCTGTCCGTCCCATGCCTGCATGAGCTTGCACCACTCTGAAGTGGTTTTGCAGCATTGGTCTCAATCTGCTTGCAGGGAGGTGTTTCCTCTGAAAGAGGAAAGAGGCTCATTAGCTAGTAGTTCTGTGAGAGAAAGCAATACTTGCTGTCTGCAGGGCACATGGGACCATGGTCTCTGGGATGCTTTCTCAAAGGCAGTGAAAGTTTGGCTGGAGCAGGGAAGCTTCAGTTGCTGCTCACAGCGAGTAGAAGTGCTCTAAATGCACAAGAGCCCCCAAGTTAATGCAGTTGGGTCTGTGTGTGAAGCCTCTCTCTTCTTATGTCAGGAAAGCCGTGTCTGTGGTAGCAGTTCCCCTTGGGAAGAAGTGCCTGGGACTCCAGCCTAGCCATACATCTCTGTCAAAATCTCTATGAATAAATTAACCTTTCTAAAGATTAGTGCACCCTAATACCTCAGGGTTTTTTTCGTGTTTTTTAACAGCACAAATGCTAAAAATGCCTTGACAGACCTTGCTGGTTCTGTGCTGTGGATCGTCTACAAAGGATTATGCTGCAAGTGGCATTAAAGGCACAGCCATGTGGTTATGTATCCTCCTTTGGAGAAGGGCTTTAGCATATGATTATGAGTACAAAATCCTCATTAGGGTGAGTAATAAAAACACTAATGAAAATTCTTGTGCTTTTCCTTTTAGAACACCTCAGATTCAGACACCTCCCAGTGCTTCACAACTGTTAGCTCACTAGAGCAAAGGCATGATCTGACTCACTAGGCTTTGAAGATTTTGGTAGCTGCACTTAACACTCGGGTAAGCTACAACACTGGTTGCCAAATGTATCTGTGGAACAATGCCTCAGTGTCAGCAGCCCAGTGGGCCCTTGTCCTGAAGGCTTTTCCCTCTTTCCCTTATTTTGGTAGAGCAGGCTGTGTGGAGGTCAGGTATCTGTCGCTCTGTTCTCTTGCCATTGGTTTGCTGGAATTGATCTGATCCTTTCCAGGCGGTGGGGCCATTCCAAAGATGGTAGGGGGTGTTTTGATTTTTGATCTTTTTGAGATGAATTATGGGGAGGAAGCTGTCTGCTATCAGAGGAATTAGTCAAATTCCTTGTCAGATGTGCAATCCCATTAAAAATGCATTATCTGTTTTCAAAGCTTAAGGACGGGTGTTGGTTGAGAGTCTTTAAAATATTATTGTAAACTTTCACTGAGAAAAAGTATTCCTGAGCCTTTCATGAAGGCTAATCCCACTTCAACTACCATCAACCAGCAACTCGTGGGGTGGCCTTCTCAAGCCGTGCTAGGCAAGAGCATGGAGTTATGCTGGGAAAACCCCCCTGGAAGATGCATGCGTTTGTTTTATGACATTGGTGGCAGCTCTCAGCATTCAGCTGACTTGTTCTGATAATGATCCTGTGTCTGCTGCCTCTTCAGATGATCCCTTTGCTCTTCTCTCTGGGATTTAGAGTTCAAATAGCTGAGACCAGCTCTGAATTTATCCTCAATGAGATAATGAACTCTGGTTCCTGCAAAGGAGGAAATTCAGAACACTTACATGCATAAGCTCATAAGTTGAATATCTTAAAGTAGACAGAAGGAATCTTAGTCAAAGCTTTGAAGTATGTATCTGTGGAGGAAGCCACAGCTTTTTCTGGGAGGGATTAAGGGGATATTGTGGAGTGTGCAATATCACTCAGCCTTTAAAACATGTTCCTTGGAATGTTCTTATATAAGCATATAATGGTGGCATGCAAACTTCTCTTTAGAAAGCAATTATTAGCTGCAGGATCACACACTCCTCCTAGTTTTCCCTTGTTTTTGACATGTAAATAGGATTTCCAGGAAAACCTCATCGTTTTTGATCTCTTTCACTGATATTCCCAACCATAATTGACTTTACATTAGCTGTGGCAGACCATAAGTGGTGGTCCCTGTTCCATAGGTTATATGCTTAGACCTTTGCTCATTTGAATTGTTAGTGCCTTGGAACAATGCTGTTCCCACCATTTCTATTTGCAGTCCAACCTTTGCTTTCTTCTCTAAGCAGTGTAACTCAAAAGCTGACTGTGTGAGCAGGAGGGGATCACTTAGGAAAGTCAGTCTGCTTGGCCATGCATTACAAATGCTCTCATTTTGTATGGTCTCTTTAATATCTTTGTTTCTGCATCTGTGCTCTCATCTGAGCACAACTGGAACAGTGCTCAGGCCATGTAACAAACTGTGTACTTTAATAATTAAAAAAAGAAGGTGGCCACCTCTGTGAAGGAAGGAAACGGCCTCGGCTGGCAAGGGATCCCTGCGAGGGCCGTGCCAGCACCCAGGGACATGTTTCATGCTCCTTTGTTTTTCTGTTCCATGAGAGGAGTTGGCAGGAAACAGGCAAATTCCTCGGGGTCTGGCTGGATGCTCTGGCCCCCTCCAGGAACCATGTTTCCTGCCTGGTTCTCTGGCAAGTGTGTCAGTTTTAGAACAGCTCCAGTCCTCTGTCTCACTGCAGGCAAACGAAACACAGCGTGGTGCTTATCTCTTCAAATACCAGTGAAGCTGGGGTTCCAGTCCCTGTTTGCATCACTGCCAATTCACCTGTTAAAATATTTTCCAGACAACAATCTATGAAGAGAGCACATGCACATCATAAATGTTTGGGATCATGTGTTATGTTGGAAGGCTTTTAAGGTGCTTTGATTTTATTTTGATGGTGGCTGAACTCCCAAGAGATCGTATTAGGGCCTGCTGACAAATGCCCCGTAATGAGCTGAATTGTGTGGGAAGGTGAAAACCAGCTTCACTTCTTTAGCCAATCCCTGTTAAAAAAATCAGCCAAAAGTTTTGTGACTGAGTGTTTAAAGAGGATTTTCCCTTGCTCTTCTACTTAATAGATGAAGGAACAGCAGCAAATATCCTCATCCACCTTCCAGGTTCAAGAAGCAGTGAACTTTTTGAAAGAACCTGAGCTGGTCTTTCCCTTGCAGTTTCCACTATTCTCTGCAGTCTTGGATGGGCAGAGTTCGCATTGCCACCAACATCAGAGCAGAACCATGCCTGGTGCAGTCTAGACAACAGAAAAGACAATTCCTTGTATTCTAACTAGTCTGTGCAAAGCAAAGATCATCAAACCAGTAGGAGCACTTCAGATCTTTTCCTTACCATTTCACCAAAGCAGGGAACATGTGGTCCTCAGGTCTTCAACATCCCGTGCATTGAGCTATGTATGATGGGAGGCAGCTGCAGCGCAAGTGATTTTATAGCACAGAACGGTGGCACTTTAACGTTTCCTTTGCTAGAATAGGTTTATCTCAAAATTTTATGTTATTTCAACAAAGTGGAGTGTTTACCATAAATAGCAGGGCCTGCAGAAAGCCTGCTGCAACACTCTTCCTACTGTGAAGCAGCAGTACCTCAAGCTTGAGCCAATTTAAGAAGGCATTGGCCATATGATTTTAATATTAACAAGTGGAGCAAATTTGTGAGTGGGTTGTTGGCCAGTTTCATAGTGAGGGCACCTGCAATCCATCAACACGGCTCGTGCAACAAGGTGTCAATGCACAGGCAGAATAATAACAAGAATTGGGTGCGTGCAGGGATCACTCAGCTGGTGGAAAGGTGTTAACATGCGGGAGGAGAGAAAGCGCTATGGTGAAACGCTGTTATTTGTTGGTCAGTTAGCAACCCTGTAGTTCTGAGATGAGGAAGAAGCAGGGCAAGAGGTGGAACGTGGCAAGGAGGGTGAGGGACGGTATGCCTGTGGCTTTGCTGCCGGCTGGAAAGCTGAGAGGTGGGTGGCATGAGTACAATGTAAAGTTTGTGGTGGCAGAAAGTGGTCACGACCACCTTTTGTGAAGCAGGAGCACCCAGGTTATGTGGTTTTAAATGCAAGCAAACGCTCTTTAAAAGGGCACTACAGTTGTGACACCCAACTGAAGGGTTGGAGAGAGGACCCGAGTGCCAGGCTCCTTCTCCTTGGGGAGCTCAGGTGGACTGCTGCCCAGCCCTCAGACCTGTAATGGTGGGCTAACATGGTTCAAAGAAACCTGTCATTGCAGGGACCCCACTTTGAACACAGCACACTGGGCTGTGATGGAGTAGAGCAAGGAAAATGCTCCTTATTCAGCTTCCCTTCCAAGTGTGTTCCTTTGCAGAGGCTTCCTCTGGGAGTAAGCCTGCCTCTCCCACACTGACTGGGGGTGGGCAGTGCCTGATGCCCAATTTCTCACCCCTGTGCCCCAGCTCCCCTGCCTGAGCCAACACATGGCTGCCATGGGAGGTGTACCAGGGAACATGGCCCCTCTGGGATGTGGTGTTTTGACGAGTACAAATAACATTGCAGGCTAATGCTGGAAAGTGAATCCAGCCTCTGGACACCGGCTTGGCTTTCACAGGACGTGACAGAGGAGGAGATGTGTATGGGCCTGTCTGTTTGCCAAGGAACAGAAGGACAAGGAACAGTCACCTCTGCAAGAAGTTCTGAACATGCAAGAGGGGTAGATCTCTTAGCACTGTGCCAAAGGGACTGGACTCTCCAGAAGTCACTCTAAAGCTGGTGCTCCTTAAGAAGGATCCTTCCCAGCTGTGTCCTGAGCTCTTTCAATTTTTGCAGGGATGTAATTTTTTTGCTCTATTTCATAGATTTTTCTCCCTTTTCATAGCGTCCCAAAGGGTGATATCAGCATGTTGTTATGTTCTTTCTATTGTGTGCCAACTTCAAGTGCGTATTTTCATCCATCTGAATAAGCATAGAGCTACAGCGACATGATCCAGGATTACAGAAATATGGGCTGTCACAAAAATGTGGGCCTCTCTTTGAAGGAACCCAGGTCACCTCCTGATCTCACCTTCCCCTCCAACAAAGAACTGGAGCTGCTGTGTCCTGCTTGAGTTACTTTGTCTCTGCCTTTACCTCTGTTACTTTATTTCTGTATTGCTTAGCTAGTCTCGACTTAGCCTAATGTCTGCACTTTAACTCAGGTGGTTCATCCGTGCTCTTGGCAACACGTGCTAGCTTTGTTGCGCTAACATCATGCTCTTCTGCACATCTAAAATAACACCAATCTTCTTTCTCCATCCAGATGAAAACCCCTCCTTTCTGCTCTGCCAGTCGTTGTTTCCTGTCACTTGCAGTGGCCTCTTCCCAGGAGGTAAGAAAATAACCTTGCGTACTTTCTACCAGTGGTAATGTGTTGTGTTGGCATTCTGTGAATGACTGGTTTCAGGAGCCTCTGTCAGCGTACCTTGCCAGCAACCAGGTTTTAGATGTTTGCTTTGGGAGCATTTTGTGGTTGAATGGCTGTGTTCCATTCCACATGTAAACATGGGCAAAAGCTCACATTGAACAGTGCTAAACAGTTGGACACTGGTCAAAGAGGCTACTCCCCTTCGTGAATACATTGAAAATTCGCATGGAGCACAGAACAATTTAGTGGCAGGAATGCCCAGGTCCTGCCAAACGTATGATTTTGTTTTATTTTCTTTTTTCAAAATGCCTAGCACAAAGAGTGAGCCTTTATTTGGAAGGAGATGTCAGAAAAGCAGAACTTAATTGAATCTCAGACTGTACAACTGGAGTCATGTCTGAAAGGAAAGCTGTCTTTTCCCTCAGCATGCACTTGTACTGGAGGCCAGTTTCCACCCTCATTTGCATGAGTTTAAACCACAGTAATACCACATGTGACTGTGCCAGTATGGCTTGAGATTGGAATTGAGTCTTCAGCTATTGTTTTTCACGTTCTTAGTCATCTGATTGAACACTGTGATGGCAGTCTGATTACTTGCCACAGATGTACAGAAGAGTCTGCCCACAGCATCAGGACCTAG